TGGCCCTCAGCACAGTGCCTAGCTCCTGATAGACAGAGCTCAATAATCCGGATGTTATTGTTATTATTGTCATACATTGTTAAGAAAAAGTATCCAAAACCTAGAACTGAGGTGTAAGGGTGACTGCCTGTCCTGTAAGCTGGGGCAGTATGCTCCAGGTCCATTCTAGAGTTACTTCATTCTCTACAAGATTATTTGTGCCTGGTTTATGTTACTATTTACTATTGGTTAAGACCCTCCCCCTAAAATTATAAGTTCAATGTTGTAGATTTTTAAAAAATTTTTTCTTTATTTATTTCTGAGAGAGAGAGAGAGACAGACAGACAACATGAGCAGGGGAGGGTCAGAGAGAGAGGGAGACACAGAATTTGAGCTGGCTGTCAGCACAGAGCCCGACGCGGGGCTCGAACCCACGAACTGTGAGATCATGACCTGAGCCGAAGTCGGACACTTAACCGACTGAGCCACCCAGGCACCCCTCAATGTTGTAGATGTTTATCTGTTTGAGATGCAAGTGATTTCTGTGTGGTAGGACAGACAAACCCAAAGGTCACAGTTTTATTGCCGAGTAGTAAATTAATCCATTTTGTATCTAATCTAGTAATCTTCTGGGAGTCTTTCAGAGTCTGTATGCATTAGATCTTGAATTGTTTTTGAACCATCTTTACCATCCTGCTGGGTCCCTCATTAATTTATATGACAGTCATTTTGGAAAATTAGACTTCGACAATGTCCATAGTTCATGCTTGGACTATTTATATTTTTGGATAAGTGGCTAGTTCCACTGATGAAAGTATGATTGCACCACTTCCTCCTCAACTATTTCTGCATTTCTATGGAATCCCTGAGTTCCTAGAAGGACTAGAGATTTGGAGGGAAGCCCAAAGGGTCTTTACTCAGCTCCTGCTTTACCCTTCCTTTACTACTGAAGGTCAAGGGGGTTGCACTTCAGGCCACTCCTTTCCAGTAACCACCAACTCTTGACTTTCCTCTCGGGGATTCTCATCTTTGTCCAGTCGATGGTGAAGTAAAGTGATGTTTTCAAACCAATCTTCTGCTTGTCCTCCTCTTTCCCTATGTCAGAGATAAGCACTTTTATTTTTAAGATACCTTTACTTTTTTAAAAAATGTTTATTTCTTTTCTTAAAAATTTTTTAAACATTTTAATTTATTTTTGAGAGACAGAGAGAGACAGAACGTGAGCAGGGGAGGGGCAGAGAGAGGGAGAATCCCAAGCAGGATCCAGGCTTTGAGATGTCAACACAGAGGCAGACGTGGGGCTCAAACTCATGAACTCGTGAGATCATGACCTGAGACAAAGTTAGACGCTTAACTGAGTCACCTGGGGACCCCAAGACTGTTGAAATTCTTAAAAAGTACTTGTCACATTTGCCGGCTGCCCTTCCCATCCCCACCGTTCCTCTCCTCCCCCACCTCAGTCTCCATTTCCCATTTAAGTATAAACGAACGAGTTCTGCTTTCCGTTAACCTCTTTCCCTTTTCTCAAACTCTTTGAAAATTCCCTTGGGAGTTTCAAATCATCCCTTCCAGCCACCACTCTTTTATTCCTAGGGGTTGAGTTATCAAGCCCCCCCCCGACTCTTTTTGAGAAATGTGTTAACTGGGCTGCCATTCAAATTACCACAGACCTGAGAGGATCTTTTTACATCTGAAGGAAGCTCTAAGCTGATGTCTCTAACCTCAAGGTCCAGCCACCCGACGGGACTCTTTTCTTTCCCTAGGAAGAGTCAGCGGAGGTCATTACAGGACAGAACGCACGCTTGGCTGACCTGTTGAGAAGAGTTTCTCAGTTGAGAAGTCTGGAGATGGGTGTGGGTTTTATAATGCTGACAGCAGGTGGGAGTGGGCTATATCAGGGAAGGGGTAGGTCAATGTCTTTTGAAAAGGCATATGCTTCCTTGTAATTTTATACTTGGACCATTAAAAAAATTTTCTATAGCATAAATTACAGAGAAATGCATGACTAAACTGATGTTGGTAATACACTAAAAATGCAGTACTTGTCTGTGGTGGAATGGGTGGGAAGTGGAATTACTGGAATCTCCTGCAGATAGGAGATTTTTATATGTATCATCAAGGGACATGGATTTTTTAAATAGTTGAGAAATGTGGAATTTTGGGACAAAGCTCTGGGATGGATCAAATCTGTCTATTGCTCCAGATCCTTCAAGGGATTTCAAGGAGCTTAACCTACAATTTTCCAACCCAGAGAAAAGTAAACTGCAATATGCAAAATTTCTAAGTGATAATCAAATTCTCTCTGGAAGGTTGTGTCTGTTTTGTTTTTATTTTGTTTTTGAAGCCACAAAATTGGGGATGGTATATGTGGCATATGTAATTCTTAGTGTGTTCTGACAAGCAATAAACTAATGCTTATAATGGTCCCTGAACTATTTGGATGAAATACGATTTGCAGCAGTGAGTGTGTATATACATATACAATATTATAAGGGAAGATTTATAACTCACTGACTAGTGAAAGATTGCTTCAGCAAACATAAATTATCACAATTCCAAATAATAGCTTTCCCTGAGGGAGCTTTCAAAGAATTTACATTTGAATTGGATCCTGAAACTCTAAATGTGAATTTATCACCCATTCTTCAAGAAATATTGTGGTTATATATAAGATAGCACTATACAAATGAAATTCAGTGACAACAAATTAGTTACGTCTTTCAAAAATATTATCAGAATTATGTTACTTTACTGAGCTGATTCTTGCTCTAAATTCAGCTTGTCTTAATAGCATCAAGAATCTGACCTCAAATGGATTCCATAAATAATCCCTTCTAATAAATACCATGATTCTTTGAAATGTAAAAAGAAATCTCACATGGAGAACTCAACCAGGAAGAAAAAGCTGGAAATAACACAGCTTAATAACTGGTAAAATTCTTCACCTTGACTTTTCAAATCTGTATGTCACTGTCAATAAGATAAGTGTATAAAGGCATAATGGTCACCATATCCTGGGGCCTGAAGTCAAATCCACTCTACGTACCAAGATATTTATGCCTTTATAGAATCATTGATTAGTTTAGATTCATCTGTTTCATCATTCCTTAGGATGAAACTGGTTATAGGAAATAATTATAGGAAGTTTATTTTTTCATTCAGAGATAGTGGCAAATAAATCCTTTAAATATTCTGGGATTTAAAGGCATTCTGTTAATGATTCTCCTAGAAACCAAATTATATATATATGTTATATTATTTATATATTATATTACATATAATTTAATTTCTAGGATATATATAATGTATATTACATACACCTTTAACTGTAAGCTGAATGGATGATTTTTAGCACTGGCTCCGTCCCTTCCTTGCTGTGGGCTGCTTCCTGAAACTTTCTGCGCCTTTTCCTCACATATAAAAATGGAGAAAACAAGATTAATTACCTCATAGGATTGATGAGAGAATTAAATGAGGGAATATGAGTTTGAAAACCACGTGCTTGGTTCATAATAACGGTGTAATGGCTGTTATAATTTTCATGGTTAATAAATCCAAATGATTGATAAAGTACGATTGAGGCTTTGGTGTATGTCCTTTTTGGTCTTCTTCTTCTTTCCAATTGGACTTTACTTAGTGTACAATGTGGTCATCATATTTGTACTATATTTCAATCTATCCCATAAAATAAGCTATTACAGATTTTGTTTAGGGGATTAAAGGAGTACTTTCAACTGTTAAAATTACTCAACTTCTTTATGATAAAAGGAAATAACGCCTCTTAAACAAATGTTTTCTGTCTTCCTTCTTTTCTTCCCTCCCTCCCTTCGACTTTCTTCCTTTCTCCCTCCTCTCCTCGCTTCCTTTTCTTCCTCTCCTTGTTTCATCTACTGGAACGGGCAGTACTTACTTTGGAAGAGCTGGTGGGAATAATGCCATTTGGACAATACACAACACAAGTTGCCCAGGAGAACACAAGAAAGTCCTCAGCTGTCAGCTCCCAAGGTCCTTGCATGGCCAAAGGACTCTTAATTTCCTAAAATTAGTGTGAGAATATTTTGTAACAGCAGTTTGAATAAACTGACTCGCATGCCACTGTGATTTAATGTCTGCTTTGCTACCGGATCGGCCATGTTTGGCCAGCCTGGCTGTCTTCACATTTTTCTTTGTGTTTATCGTCACGCTTAGCAACCAAGCAAACACTGAGTGGAATATCAATATTTAAGAGTAAAGCATATCCGTTTACTAATTGTTCCACTAAGACACTGAGTTTGTATGATTTACATTTTTGTACTTCTTTTTGTTCTACTCAGGATATTATGAACACATGAAATTTTGCCCTCCCCCCCCACCCCCCTTATTTACAAGCTTTCAAATACTCGTAAAAATGTGAACTAGAGGATATTTTATGTGTCGAATGGCGCCTCTTCCAGCAATCAGATCAACTTTTAAGAGCTAGCAGGGTCTTTGAAGATCAGATATTTTATCCCTTCGATTTACAAATAACCAGAGGCAGAGGGCAAGGGGCAAGTTTAAGGCCGGAGCGCTCGATACCTGGTCCAGACTCTTCCCCTAACTTCACTACCTGCCACTCCTTTTTCTTTAGGACCCGCACAAAGGCGGTTTTGAGTTTCTGGGAAAGATGACTGGAAACTCGCGGGGCCTCTGACACGTTCCCTCCCTTTCCTGACCTCCGTCTCGCCTCCCCTCCTTCCCTCGGCCGCGGCCCCAGCCGCCCCGCCGAGTCGCGCTGCGGGACCAGGCGGCGGCCGGGACCGGTGTCCCGCTCCGGCCGAGGCCCCGGCTCCCGCCCACCACGCTCCCGCCGCCGCGGGCCGCGGCGGGCGCAGGCCCCGGCTCCCGGGCCGCGTGATGCAGCCCAAAAAAGGCGCAGCCTCGCACGTGTCCCCGCCGGCGCCCCGGCCTCCGGCGCCCGGGCCTCCCGCGCCGCCGCCCAATCGCCGCGGCCGCCTCGCGCTCGGGCCACGTCGGCCGGCCGCGGGGACACGGGGCCCGCCGCCGCGCCGCCCGCCGCCATGCGGTTCCGGTTCGGGGTGGTGGTGCCGCCCGCGGTGGCCGGGCCGGGCCCGGAGCTGCTGGTGGTGGGCTCGCGGCCCGAGCTGGGGGGCTGGGAGCCGAGCGGCGCCGTGCGCCTGAGGCCGGCGGGCACGGCGGCGGGCGCCGGGGCGCTGGCGCTGCAGGAGCCGGGCCTGTGGCTCGGGGAGGTGGAGCTGGCGCCCGAGGAGGCGGTGCTGGACGGGGTGGAGCCGGGCCGCGTGGACACGTTCTGGTACAAGTTCCTGAAGCGGGAGCCGGGAGGAGAGCTCTCCTGGGAAGGTACTGGAAGCCCGCGGCCGACCCCGAGCGCGGACCTGGGGCCTGGGGCTCCTCCTCGGCCTGGGGCGGCCGGCCGTGCCCGCCGCGCGCTCCCTTCCCGGCTCCGAAAGCCGCCCGAACACCCTGGGTGCCCCGGGCTGACCCTTCGAGGCCGGCCGGCCGGTCTTCGCCCTCCGGCCCGGAGCGGGTCGCTAGATTGGCGCGGAGTTCCGGCGCGCCCCTTCGCCTTTGCTGTCCCCCCCCCCCCGCCCTCATCCCCGCACCCCCGGCGCCCTGTGTGTGTGTGTGTGTGTGTGTGTCCCCGTCCCCGGTGTCCCTGCGCCCCGCCGCTCCCAGGTCACTTCTCAGCTCCGCCGTAGTGGTTTCTGTGCCCTCATTGCCCCTCGGTCACTGACAAATCACCCAGCCCGCGGAGCTGGCCTGCTGGCTCAGCCACAGGCTGCCCTTCCCTCTGAGGTCTGAGAGTGAGCTAATGCAGACACATTGTTTCTCGTTGTGGCTATACTCTGGTTTCTTAAGCTATAAAAACACTATACGCTAGTTGTAAACATCAATCAACTTTCAAGGTGAGAACTTCCTGTGTTTCCTCCACACACCTTAAGCCCACTGCCTACTGGCCAGTATATGTGTCTCCCTATCATGTATCTATCGCACGCACAGATCCTAGAATAGATTATTCTACATCTTGCCCTTTGTTGCTTAGCGATATGTTGCGAATACTGTCTAGGGTCACTCCATATAGATGCATTTCATTTTTTAAATGGCAGCAAGATATTCTGCATCTAACTAGAGTGCATTTATGTTGTTTCGTTCTTCTTTGTTATAAACAGTAATAGCTTAGTGTATAGAGCTTATCTTTGAGTATTTGGGAGTGTTGCTGTGGGGTGGATTCTGCGAAGTGAAATTGTTAGGTCAAAGTGTGGCCGTATTTTACTTTTCAAAAAGGACTGCCAAATTATACCCGGAAAAGGTTATACCAGTGTAGACTCCCGCCAGCGACGTGTGAGTTCAGACGGCATTTTCTTTCAGCGTGGTGTGCAAAGTAGAGGATTGGAGCATGTGTGATTCAGTAGTTGTCTAAAGAGGATGAAATGACTGTCTCTGTAGAAGTTTTTATGACAAAAATGGGCCATTTAGTCATAATGATATGGAAACAAAGAATCAGTAAAGAACATGAGTATTCTGTAATACGTTTGTATATTATCTTTGTCTTACTGGGTATTAGGCCCGGTGGCATTTATTGTTACTTTGTATTACCATGCCAGTATTGAGGTAGCCTCACCTCAATTGATATGCCCTTCTTTGTAATGATATTTTAGTAATGATATTATATATAATTTTTCACACTAAAATATCTGATTATTTTACTAGAAATTGAAGACTTACCCTTCTCTAGTCCCCCTTTTTCTATTTTTAGCTTTTCTGATATTCTTCGCAGAGTTTGAAATACTTTGCTTATTATTGCTATTTCACTAAGAAATATTTTAACTTTTCTGATCTTAGATTCTCTGACTTCTATGTAAATCATATATAACATTTTAAAATTAAAACCTGACAGTAGCTATTTCTACCCGTAAATTTAGCCATCATATCTACTGTGAAATATGAAGAATTCAAGTTCATTCTCTCTCTCCTCTCTGCTGATTGTTTTTTTATTTTATTCTTATATATAAAAATTATTTATGTATGTAATTGTTGACTTTCTTTTTTTTTTTTTTTTAAATGTTTTATTTATTTCTAGGAGAGAGAGAGAGAGAGAGACAGCTTGAGCAGGGGAGGGTCAGAGAGAGAGGGAGTCACAGACTGAAACAGGCTCCAGGCTCTGAGCTGGCAGTCAGCACAGAGCCCGACGCGGGGCTCGAACCCACGAACCGCGAGATCATGACCTAAGCGAAAGTCGGACGCTTAACCGACTAAGCCACCCAGGCGCCCCAATTGTTGACTTTCTACTATGTAGAAAGTTCTGTGTTATAATTCTATTATGTGGAAAGTTATTCCTGTGTAAGAGGATAAGAAAAATCACAGACAGATTCTTCTCCTTCTCCTTACTTTGGTTAATTATTTTCTCTACATTGGTAAGTCTTGTATAATTTATATCTTGTTTCATAATTGTTACTAGTCCTTCTTGTTTTAGATTGGTAAGTTGATTCTAAGAATGGTAAGTTAACAGAGAGCATTATGAGAAACATAGTGTTTAAGAGCAAAGGTTCTACAGCGCAGAATGCCTGGGTTCACCAGCCTGTGCGTGACCTTGGGCAACGTACTTAACCTTACTGTGCTGTTGTTGAAAGAACTGAGCTGACTAATCAATCTGAAGGAATTAGAACAAGACTTATATTAAATGTTAAATAACTGTTAGTGGCTATTATCTTTACTGTTATGATTAGGAAATAATTACTGCAGAACCAAGTAGTGTGGTAATCTCATTAACAAGGAAATACAGGGGTGCCTGGGTGGCCCAGTCAGTTAAGCGTCCGACTTTGGCTCAGGTCATGATCTCATGGTTTGTGGGTTCCAGCCCCGCATCGGGCTCTGTGCTGACAGTTAGCTCAGAGCCTGGAGCCTGCTTTGGATTCTGTGTCTCCCTCTCTTGTGTGTGTGTGTGTGTGTGTGTCTCCCTTTCTCTCTGACCCTCCCCTGCTCATGCTGTCTCTATCCCTCTCAAAAATAAATAAAATATTAAAAAAATTAAAAAGAAAAGGAAATACAATTCTGTGACATGAAGCCTGTGTCACCAGAAGGAAAAATTCTTTTCTCTTACACTATAAATTATGATCAGATTTTACTTAAACTTTGAATTTGGGTGGTAAAGTTCTTCTACAACTTTAAAAAAAATTTCTAGTTAACTTTTTTTTTAGCAGAAGACCCACATTGATCATCAGAATTTCCCAGCTTGATTACAGTATTTGATGAATACAAATTTCTCACTCTTTGAAAAATTTTTTTCCTTGAAAAATTGAGGTTATTGTTCTAATTTTCAATTATATATATAGCTTTCTGATCACAGCTATCTGGGACTTTTTTTTTTTTCTCCTAATTCACTCCTGTGTTAGTTACATTGTTTTGGATTCCATGTCTTCCTCTTTCTTAAATATCTTACTCATTTTGTTGGATTGTATCCTAAAATAATTTTGAAGAAACAATAAATGAGAGATAACCTATCTGAGAGGTAAAATATCTGAATTCTTAAATGCCTAAAAATGTCTTTATTTTGGCCTCACACTTGATCATCTGGTAGAATATTCTAGTCTCAAATTAATTTTCCCTTTGAAGCCTTTGCCTCAGTACCTTCTAGCACCCATTGTAATTGATAATTGTGATGCCAAACTAAGCCCATTCCTTTGTAGGCAATCTGTTTATTTTTTCCTCTTCTTTTGAAGCTTGATTGCAAGTAATAGAAAACTGAGTGTGAACGAGCCTAAAAAAATAAATTATTATTAACTCATATAACCAAACTAAAAGAAGTGTGGTGTTTAACTTCTGTCCCCTCGCTTGCTCTCCAGCTCTCTCTCTTCCCTTGGGGTTGCTATACTCTGGTATTGACTTCATTATCTCAAGCCAACTCTACCAAGCTAGGCTTCTGAACAGGGAGCTCCAGGCTTCCATACTCAAAGCCAGAGAAGAAAAAAATTATTCTTCCCTGACAGCTCTAGTTAGAAAAATGTGTGGGGAAAAAACTGGAACCTACCTTCCTTGAACCAGTCCTTCTTGCCAAGGAAGTGGGAGTACAATGAGCATTCCCAACAGCAAACACTCCTTGGAGTTGGGGAGGAACACATCCCCCAAAAAGTGTGTAGTGTTTCAGGGGCAGTTTAGAATACAGTGGAATGTAGGTTAACCGGAAAATACAACAGTTGCTTAAACAAAGAAAAGTTAAATTTTCTGCTATAAAAAGTCCATAGATAGGTGGAGATGGTAATGGTCACAGCTCATGGATGTCAGAAGAGGTGTCATTGTATTTCCTTGGCTTTTTCCTCAAAACAACAGCTGCCACCATGTCTGCGTTCAGTGGAATATGGGAGGAGAGAGAAGAGTGGAAGTGTCAGCCACAAGCATCCCTTTTATCCGGAAAGCTGTAACTTGAGCAGAGTCCTCTCCTGCCCAAAGCACACTTCCTTCTTTTCACTTGGTGATTATGAATAAAGCTGCTGTAAACAGTGATGTGCAAGTGTTTACATAAACATAAAGTTTTAAAAAATATTTAAGAATGGGTTGGCCAATCATGTAAAACTATATTGAGCTTAGTAAGAAACTGCCAAACCATCTTCCAGAGTGACCATAGCATTTTTCATTCCTTCCAGCAATGAATGAGAGTTCCTCTTGCTACACATTCTTATCAGCAATCGAATTGCTTTATTTTTTGGATTAAAACTATTCTTATAGCTGTGCAGTAGTACCTGATTTTTTAAATTGGTAATTTCCTAATAATAAATGATGTGAAGCATCTTTTTATATGCTTATTTGTCATCTGTAATATCTTCTTTAATTGGGTGTCTGCTCCGATCTTTTCTCCACTTTTTAGGTAGGTTGTTTTCTTATTGCTGACTTTTAAGAATTCTTTCAATATTTGGATACAATTCTTTTTAAAAAAAATGTTTAAAAATGTTTATTTATTTTGAGGGAGGGAGAGAGACAGAGCATGAGCAGGGAAGGGGCAGAGAGAGGGAGACAGAGAGAGAGAGAGAGAGAGGGAGGTATAGAATTTGAAGCAGATTCCAGGCTCTGAGCTGTCAGCCTGACAAAGGACTTGAACTCAGAGCCTTGAGATCGTGACCTGAGCCAAAGTGAGATGCTTAACTGACTGAGCCACCCAGGTGTCCCTATTTGGATACAATTCTAAGGTAATGTGTGGTTTACAGATTTCCTCCCTGTCTGTTACCTGTCTTTTCATTCTTTTGACCGTGTTATATACAATGTAGAGCTTTTAATTTTAATGCAGTTCAGCTTACTGTTTTTTTTTTTATGGATTGTGCTTTTGGTTTTGAATAAAAAACTCATTT